TACTGACTTGATGTTTTGTTTCTTTAATAAATATTTTCATTAATATTTCATATGCGTTATTAACATGTTTAAAAGTATATATATTTTTCTCACTTAACTTTACTTTCCCTGCCTATAATATGTAGTTCTCCATCAATAATGAAAGAAGGATTTCTGTCTGGAAAAGGGACAAAAGTCACGTGAACTACGAAAGTTGCTTCCACTACGTATCCATTCAACCGTTTCACACCTGAAGCAGCCGGAGAATGAAAGGTGCATTCATGTTGTTCCATAGAAAAGCATAATGGAAAACACGAAGGGAGGAGTGGAGCGCTTTAGACATGACAACCTTATGGCGGAGCCTTTTGTAGTGAAAACTATATTTCACAGCTATTTTCAAGATGCGCAGTCGTTAGAATGAGCATGACCAAACGTGGCGACACGGACTTTAACGACGTAGTGAGGCTCCAAAATCGTTTAAATATAACGTACTCAATTCTGCAATAAATGTGAATTTCTAAACCCACTTGTAAAATACACATAAACAAATCCAGTACTTTGTGTGTGATGTAAGATTTGAACATACAAGTTCTGGTAATGGAGACTGATTTATCCCCCCCCTCCCCCCACATAAAAAATGCTGCAAAGTTCTTATGATTCCGTAGATCTGTACTGAATAATTTGGGTAATATCATGACATGAATTTAGTATTGAAGATTGAGCTGCAATATAGAAGTCTCTATTGCTATTTACATTCTGAACTTTTGAACGTTAGAATTTGTTGATCTCATATCAGGGTTCAAAGAGCACTAAAGATAATGCAGAAGTTCATTTTGAAATCCCAACTTTGTTTATTTTTTACTTTTTCTTAGAGATAAAAACTTTTCCGTCTCACGTTTTCTGAAAACGTCTGTATATATACTATCTTAGATATTTCCGTTATTATATAGTAGTTTTCAAACATTCAAATGTTTGAAAGAAAACCAAGGTTCGTGGCTGTCTAATGTGTACATTTCTCATAAAATGTATCTGAAGAAGGAATACTTAGTGAGTGGAAAGACATCTGAAAAAAACCGAATTTGAAAGAACAGACAAATTTCAATGATAAGGAGGTTTTTACGAAACAGATAAAAAAGCGAAATAAAATATAAAAACAGTTTCGTTTTTGAAGGAAAATGTTATGTCAGTTTTTATTTACAGCCAGTATCTAAACTTGGGATTCATCTTTCATCCATCAGTTTAATATGTAGTTGTTGAATCTGCATGAAATGCGGTAATAAAGATAAAAAAACCGTTCGTTTACTGTAGGAGATAAATCTGTTGGGTAGCCTCCATTGTTTCTCTTACTTAACCGAAGAATAAGTATATGCATTACATTCTTTGGTATTTTGTTATTTATTTCGGGAAAAGTGCGTTTAATATGTTCATGGAAGAAACTGTATTAGTTATTTTCCACGTGCGCGTATAAAGAAACAGTCGGAGTCTTCTATCGTCTGTAACGAGTTCGAGACATCGATCGAAGAAAACAGACGTATATGATACTTTATTATTAACAGACTTCCCTGTAAACACAGAACTTTTAAAACATCTATATTTTCGTTATCATCACTTATTTCCTGGGTCTGGTAACTAGGACGCTAGACGCGCAATCTGCGGGATCGAAACCCATCGCTCTTTCAGTTATGGGGGCGTTATGATGTGTCACTCAATCTCCACTACTCCTTTGTAAAAAGTATCCCTAGAGTAGGCGATGGGCGGTGTTTACTAGCTGCCTTTCCTCTAGTCTATCACTTCAAAATTAGGGACAGCTAGCGCAAATAATCCCCCAAGTTCAGCAAAACAAACAAACATTTATTTCCCCAATTTTTGCCCCAAATCGGCCAACAAGCTGCGTGTCCTATACATTTGAAGATAAACCCATATTTTTTACCAAACCAATTTTTGCCCCAAATCGGCCAACAGCTGCATGGTCTATACATTTGAAGATAAACCCATATTTTTTACCAACTATATTGCAGCCCAATCTTTAATACTAAATTCATGTCATGATATTACCCAAATTATTCAGTACAGATCTACGGAATCATAAGAACTTTGATTACGTTTTGTTTGTTCGGCTGTGATCTTTAAGTTTTTATGTGTTCAACTGAAAATTCAGAATAAGTTTAACGTTTTTATGAGAATTTAACTGAAAATTCTGAACATGACAATAAGTTAAACGTTTTTATGAGAATTTAAATGAAAATTCTGAATACTACTCTAAGTAGTTTCAAGACAATAGTTAATATCATCAATTATACATTAGCTCACGTGAGCACGTGGGTGTTGTCTTCTCTTTTGTCTTTGGTCGGTCATTTCCTGTTTTTTCTTTTGGAAATTAAAATCATCTTACCGCCGTGTTTTATGAAACATTGTGTACATAATTAAAAAAAAGTGTCTCTATTGGAAATAACAAAAAACATCCACGTTCTACTTAGATATTAACAAATATTTTCAATTTTACGTTCCACCTAGTGTCCATTCAATTACTTATCGTTTTTTTTTATATTAGAAATTGTCCAAAATAAATATACCCCCCCCCTAAAGTTACACGTAAAAATAGAACGTTGGGGCTACTTGCCGGTACATCCCACGATTAGTCAAACACGTGTTTTTACAAGCTGGCTTAGTTCTCTGAATTTATTTATTTTTGGTCACAGTTTCGTAGTACCAGAATTTTATGTAGCTTAAAAAAAAATCTTAAAGATTTATGGTTACTTTAATTAGGGGAGTCGTATAAAGGTTACCCAAGTGTTCCTATGATTTTACTTATATAATAGAGATATCAGATCGGGCTGCAGATCAAAGGGTACGAGGTTTGAAACATCGTGGTGCTGGTGAATCCTGTTATATCGGTTCAGAGAGCTAGACAATGCCTTTGTGGCGGCGGGTGTTACTGGTTGGCTGCCTTCTCTCTAATCTGGAACTATCTTCTAGCACAAACGATGACCGAAAAACGCACAAAAATATCTTCTACAGCTTTGATGTTGAGAAGACCTGACCTTTGACCTGAAGAAATAAATTTTTGTTTGTTTTGCTGAACTTCGAGGATTATATGCGCTAGCTGTCCCTAATTTTGAAGTGATAGACTAGAGGAAAGGCAGCAAGTAAACACCGCCCATCGCCTACTCTAGGGATACTTTTTACAAAGGAGTAGTGGAGATTGAGAGACACGTGATAACGCCCCCATAACTGAAAGAGCGATGGGTTTCGATCCCGCAGATTGCGAGTCTAGCGTCCTAGTTACCAGACCCAGGAAATAAGTGATGATAACGAAAATATAGATGTTGTTTTTTTATGGGTTTTAAAAGTTCTGTGTTCACGGGGAAGTCTGTTAATAGTAAGGTATTATATACGTCTGTTTTCTTCGATCGATGTCTCGAACTCGTTACAGACAAAAGAAGATTCCGATTCGTCTGGATCTAGTGTTTTGATCCCTTCAGAATGGCAAGACTCGCACCATATATTCTTCAGTTTTACCAGAAAAAACAACAAAAAACAATCACATCTGTAAGTGTTTGTTTGTTTCTGAATTTCGCGCAAAGCTA